ACCATCCGATTTCATGTCAGCATTAGAAACTAACAGTTTCAGTCCGCTAGTCCTTATAATGATAACATATAGCAAAACTTTAGGGCTAATTTCTACTGGTCCTTACCATACCTTATTTATTGGGCAGTTTGGCAAGGACTAAGGGACTAATTTCTAATGCTGCACGTTTCTCTGTTTATCTGACATGACAGATTTACTTTTATAATATGAAAGAATCAGGTGTCCTTAACTTATTTTAAGTAGTATATTTGCAATAATGGGGAAAATATACATTTTGTATTTACAATATTTATTTGGGTTATCAGATATAAGGAAATTACATATCTGATAATCAGCCATATATCTTGAAGTCATGGAGATGTTCACAATCTTCACTCTAAATATGATATATTCAATATAAGTAATATTTTCCTATTAAAAGATCTCTATTTTTAAGCCAACTTTATTTTGATAGCGCAAAGTAATTATTTTGTTTTATTGATATGATAAATACAGTAATTTCTTTGAGGCAGAAAGCAGTATGATATTATTTATGGTGTATGCTCTGTGTCTATATGCGTACAGGATATCAATATAGAGTTACGCTTTTCAAAGGTGTTTTTCACACCTTGTTGTCATGACTAGTGGTTATCAATTAGTATTCCAACCTTCATGACGACAACCAATGTTTGCTCATCTCCGATCTGGATGGGTTTGGTACTATTGGAGGAGGTAGTCATTATGTTGTGGTAGTTGATTGGAGTATTATAGAGAAACTAGGTTTATTGACACAAATATATCATTTATCTTTTGCTGGTATTTTTTGTACATTACCGTATTCGACGTAATAAGCGCCCAGGGCACTCTCAAAATTAGAAATAGGGGGCTCTTATTAGAATATTATTTTGGTAAAAAAAAAAGAAGAGTTGAAAGACCGTAAATTTAGTGGTTTATGCTGACAGTCCAGAATTCTATTGGCCATAATTAAGAGATATGACACACGAGTGCGTATTATACATGAATAAATAAGTCGTGTGTACATTGATCAATCGGAAGGGGTGCTAATTGGGATTGTTCACTAGCCAATATATTAGCAAATATCGCTGTGGGTGCTTATTAGAGCGGGGCGCTTATTACGTCAAATACGGTAACTTTTGGGAAACAGTTTCAATTTAATTGTTGATTGTTATATATGAATTATATGTAGATAAAAAAGTTCCATAATGCCATTTTTTGCTTTAGTGTAGTGCACACCTTTTCCCCCTAAAAATACACCTATGCAGAGGGTATGCATAATACTGTAAATTGTGAAATTAATAGTCTCCAAAAGAATGCGACGCTGCCCTCTAGCCAAAAATGCGACTCAATAAGAATGCGACACCCGCTCCTCTCAAACATCAGTGGATTTATATCTTCAGAAAATGTCCTCTGTCAGGGTTACAGGAGAAAACATCCAAAATCTTGTACTGTTGATATAAATGAGATGTTTAATAATGCGAGCAAAGACCACTTGCATTTTACGCATTTAATTCACGCTTACACTAATTTCAAGATTTACAGTACATGCCTACAGATACAATTCTTCCGATCACTGCATCAAAATTCTTTAAAGTTATATTGTTGGGTATTTTTTAACAGATCACTGGTGTTCAGTTGATTGCTATTTCCATGTTAGTTTCTGAAATAAATACACATGGTATTCTGAATCTAATGTCTAGAAGAAAGGCAAATAGAATTGAAGTGGTGAGTCATCATGTCTGGTGATTTTGTTTTGCAAATTTCACATTTTCATTGACAAAGTTTGTCATCTCAATTCGATCACCTGAGGCAATACTATGTTTTTTTGACTGAGCACTATTCTCAAAAAATAATTTCCTCCAAAATACTGCAACCCGTAGAGAGGGAGCACGGCTTACTTGGATGTGCCCGAAGTCAGGGAAATATGGTACTCTTTGTTGATTCACTCGCAATTCATGTACGATTCTGTCACCTTGCACATCATGATTCTTATATTTATGCAATTCTTCCATATTTGGCATTAAGGGGTGGTCGTGTAGCCTAGTGGTTAAAGCATTTGCTCGTCACGCTGAAGACCTGGGTTGGATTGCCGACATGGGTACAATGTGTGAAGCCCATTTCTGGTGTCCCCACCGTGATATTGCTGGAATATTGCTAACAGCGGGGTAAAACCATACTCACTCATTCACATTTGTTGTGAATTCTAGCACTTTTACTTGTATGGCATTGTCGTGTAGCTTGTAAGATTGGTGCATACAGCCCTAGTGTAGTGATTCACAGCGAATGGAATGCTTAAGTTCTCCCAGGAAATAACAAGCATCTTCCGATGTGGCTCACACCTCAACAGGTTCCTTCAGACTTAATATACACACAAAGTGGCTTTGATTGAGACAAATGGCAGAGGGACATTTTCATGATTTCATCAACTTTTGATAGATCATTCTTCTATCTTCAGGAGATTTTGGAAGCCACTCGTTCAACGTAAGGGACCAGTCTGAAACCCTGTATACATATTAGAGCAACACTTTTCTGTTTTTCTATTTGACTGACCAAAATGCTACGAAGGCTGGCTATTGACTATAAAGCAGTGCTCGAAACTAACACTGGACCACTGGTCCGTGTTAACTATATTTTCTCAAGGACTAGTAAAATTAAGTTAATGGTGGTCCGGTGGTCTAGTGTTATTTTGGGGACAAACAAAGGAATTTAAGTTTGTATGACTTTTGAAATCAGCGATAGATTGAGTCTAAACTAAAGCACCATCGTGTCCAGTAGAGATCCTAAAGGACAAGTAGCTGTTTTTGGTCCTGGTCCTTTGGACCACTGACACATTTTGGTCTGTGTCAGCACTGTAAAGTATGTTGTCCTTTTACATTACATATTACATTGGACCCGTGAAGATCCGGGTTAGAATAGGTCTTCAGCAACCCATGCTTGTCGTAAAAGGTGACTAACAGGATCGGGTGTCCAGGCTCGCTGACTTGGTTAATGCATATCATCGATTACCAATTGTGTGGAATGATGCTCATGATGTCAGTCATTGGATTGTCTGGTCCAGACTTGATTAAATACGGACCGCCGTCATATAGCTTGAATATTGCAGAGTGTGGCGTTAAACAACAACAACAACAAAAAAACAAAAACAAACCCAAACCACCATATTACATTGTCAGCTAGTTTTTCCCCTGGTTCTGATAAACAAGTACTGTCAAGTCTCATTAATCCGACACTCGTTAATCCGACAATCGGCTTTATCCGACACTAATGATGGGAACCGATTAAATCAGTGCTATTTAGTCCTGTTAATCCGACAATCTCGCACTCCGACTCCGACACACCTAATTTGCAACAAATTACCGAAATCACTCATTAATCAGTCTCGTTAATCCGACACAGTGATCAGCGTACTCCGTGGTCATCTGCCCGCGAGTACACAGCCCGTGTTTTGATGCGAGACGAATCGGCTGGTATCTGCATATTACAACGGCTGCAGAGATAAACTTGCTTAACAATCAACAATTACTGCTTTAAATAATGAAAACAGGATAATTCACATGCTTAGATTACCTCAATCTTATTATAATCAGATACAAGTTCTCGCTATTGACGAGGACATCCCATTACAAGTCACGTCAGAACAACCTTTCGCGAACTATGACCTACCAATGAAATACCAACAGGAAGTCGACGTTAGACACTTAGAAAGCAGCTTTCTTAATCTTTGGGTACCAGTTTCAAAGTTGCGACTTCCATTCCAGACTATGCTTTTTAAAGTATTTTGAATCGGTCATATAGTCCGTAACAGTTGTTTTGTGTTAAACTTTAGAGGTTGCATGATTAGAAAACATATTCCGCTAACAATGTAACATAACAATATGAATATTTATTTTATATTTTTTATCACGTGTTTGAATCCTTATCTATCGTGTAGTTGTCCGATTTTCGATCACGAACGTTGATACTACTAAATTTCGTTTATCCGACATACTCGTTAATCCGACATAATCATATGCAACCATCGATGTCGGATTAACGGGACTTGACTGTAATTAATTAGTTGTGTCCTTGGCCTTGTTTTGTCAAATTAACAGGAACAGCAAACATACCAACATATGCTTCTCCATTTCCTCCCCACACTTTCCTCCTCAACAAGTTTGCATTGATCTTTTATGAATATGACGCCAGAAATTTCATTTCTTTGCTTAATGTTTATTCTAATTAGGCTTTGAAAAAAATACCTCCTTTTCAGCTTTAAAGTTGCTAAGTCAGTCAGGTTTCAAGTTGTTGTGTTAATTTTATATGATGTGGGACAACTAGTTCCATAATATGGCATTTATTACCTTAAAATGTACAGTTATATTAGTATTAATCAAAAGGGCTATCCCCAATGGACTAATGGCTGGAAATAGACAGAATCCATATATGCACATGTTATAGGTTTAACAGAGCAAATGCTGTCATGAAAATTGTAAAGGTGACCAGAGTGTGTTTGCAATGCGTGGCGGACCCGTGAAGGTCCGGGGTAGAATAGGTCTTCAGCAACCCATGCTTGCTGTAAAAGGCGACGATGCTTGTCCTAAAGAGGCAACTAACGGGATCGGGTGGTCAGGCTCGCTGACTTGGTTGAAACATGTCATCGTATACCAATTGTGTAGATAGATGATCACTGGATTGTCTGGTCCAGACTCAATTATTTACAGACTGCCGTCATATAGCTGGAATATTGCTGAGTTCGGCGTTAAACAACAAACAAACCAACAAACAACCACACACTTGAGGCTGTAGTGATGGTGTATTGTCCGTAAGACTTACACCTGAGATCAGATTGTTCACACCTGAGTTGTTTGGATTAGCGTGGCAATTGGTAAATTGGGACAGGGTAATCAAGCCTCATGGAGTTATGAAATTGCACTGAGAGAGGCTGCAGAGGATGCGTACTGCCACAGTGATAAATATGTGTTATGTCTGTGAGAAGATGTTAAACGGAATGTTTGTTTTTCCAGAATGTGGACTCTGATGGCACGGGGACTGTGCGGCGACGGAACAAGACAATAGTCACACCCAAAATGGCCATGGAGAGCTTCCGGTTCTCCTTCCTCAACTCGGAGGGTAAGTACTTCATGTTCCAGGCACCATTTGGGACTGTACTCCATGTTCCAGGCATCATTTGGGCCCATACTCCATGTTAGACCCCTAGTTTCCCTTCTGTCCGTGAAACCAACCTTGAAACCTTCCCCACTTCTCCAACAGACTCCTCATGGCACAGCAGCAGTGAGTGTATGATGTCAGTGCTGAGAAACTTAGGTTTGGTTCTTATAGCCCAGTGGAGGGTGTGTCAGCCCATTGCTCAGAAAGTAAAGTTTGATTCCATACATCACGAAGCATATCCCACACTCTCACCTTGACTGAACTGCAACATGGCTCTACATCAGTGTAAAACTAACTCACTCACTCACTCACTCCCCCGCCATGAAATTGCTGGAATATTGCTAAAAGCGGCGTAAAACCTCACTCACTCACCAAACCTGGTGCCAGGTTGACTGAGGGGCTGTGCGGTAGCCATGTTGTTGTGGTGTTTGCTCATCACGCCAAAGGTCTAGGTTCGATTCCACACATGGATACAATAAAGCCCATTTTCTGATTTTCATGATATTGCTTTAATATCACTCACTCACTCACTCACTCACTCACTCACTCACTCACTCCATCACTCACTCACTCACTCACTCACTCACTCACTCACTCACTCACTCACCCACCCACCCACCCACTCACTCACTCACTCACTCACTCACTCACTCACCCTGGAGGCTGTTCATGTCTATGCCATAGTTGGTTCCACACCAAAGTTGTGGGAGACAGGCCCTCAAACATCAGCATGGAGCTTAGTGGAATTTTTTATGAGCTCTGGATAAGGTTTTCCTCAACATCCGTTAAGAAACTTAAGTTTCTTGTTAAATACCTTTCTGAAATGAAGAATATAGGTTAGCCTTGTCAGCTGTAAGATGCATGGTCTGTGTCAAAACAGGACTGAGAGTTTTTGTAATGTGTTTGAAAGAAGATTAATGATTCTGAGAACCCATTCCATAGGGTGGACCAGTATCAAGGTTTGTTGTGAAAGTTTGAATGAGTGTCATGGCAGAAGCCATCTTTCCTCACAGGACGACGCAACAATTATAAGGAGAATATCATTTATTAATGGATAATTTATTATCATAAGTTCAAGAGTTCTGGAGGATTGTTGGGTCATTGAAAAATCACTTGAATTTGTAGATTCCGGATGTAGACTCGCCCCGAACGGTTCTCGCTGATTCTACTTCTGGGAGACAGGCCTTCTTGTAACCACAGTTTTATAATGGAAACGTTTCTAGAGTGTTGTCATTTCATGACGTGTTTGACTTCATTCATCAATCATCATGAGGTATAAATTTGATTTTGAAAGAACTAGTTTTGGAGTATTGGATATTGTCTTGCTACTGGATGGGTTTTTTTAGTCATTAGGATCAGAATAAGCAAGTGAGTACTTGAGTCTGTAGTCCAATCTTTACTATTCATGAACAAATTCAGAATGATAGCAATGTACCTCTGTGTTACATACTGTTCAATGTCCAGGATGATTGCCAATTCTGTGTAAGTGTTGCTGCAGACACACTTCTGAAGCCATCCGTTTTCGGGCCATGTTGATGGTGTGGACAAATGAAGTATCGGTCGCCTACAGAAACAGCCGACAAACGATGTGGACTTGGCTTGACCGCCCAAACCTGATTTCTCACTATAAGTGCAGGCAAACAATTTGGCCACGTCTGTGGCTTATCTAACTTGATTTGGTATTGTTTGTGGCAATTTACTGCTGTCCGCTGATTGCACGTTTTTGTTTCATGCGGCCCACATCTTGATCAGCCAGAGCCTCTGTATTGTCTTGATTGAACGGATGTGAGCTGACTGTCTATACAGTTAATTGGGGCTTGTTTACTTGGACTGTAGCATCAGATTAACTTGTTGTCGGGAGACCTTCAACATTAGCATCCCAACTATGAAAATAAAATAGGAAAAATAAAGACTTTAATAGAATTAAGCAACCTGGAAGAAATCCTGAAATATTTGAAATGGTAATGTTTCCCAAGGTAAAATTATTTATTGTCATTTTTTAGTAATTTACAGGAAATTGCCCTTTCATATTCTCATTTTAACACATTTATTTTGATTTTAAGCACAGATCAATTTTCTCATATTTTTGTTTTGTATTTGTAAATATGCAGGATAAAAATAAAAAAAAATATTTGAATATTTAATTGTTGATTTAAGATTAATTACAGAAATACAACAAAATGATGTTCAAAATCAGCATATTTTCAAACAGTAGTTTTGTTTACTGTTTTAAATAGTATAAGGCTTGAAAAGGGAAGGTTTCTGAAGCATCTGCGGGTCACTTTATATCAACCACATCAGTCATTTATATTGTCAGTAACAAAAGAAGTTTTCCAATTTCTTACACCGTATGAAGCTGGTTGTTATCCATGCTTGGCAACTGACAATATATCAAAGAGTTCAGTTCAATGTGTGCCCATTACTTTTGCTGGCAGTCTGGTATGACAAAAAAAAGTTCTCTCTTATCACTTTTGTTTTCAATAAGAAATGAAAAATAGGAGAATGAGAAAAGTAAATATGAGAAAGAAAAAAGAATGTTCCCGAGAAACCTTTTTTTTAGCAGCCTAACATATGTAGATGGCAAATAAGGAGTGTAAGTCACACAGATCAACAATACCCTCTGATGACAGTGTCTTTTTCATGCCAATGTATGTGTCTACCACCTAGCCTTGCTCAAGGCTGTACTGAAAGATAAGTCCATGGATGTGTAGTAATTCTATCCTCCTAAAAGGCAAATCCCGATATGTGGTTCATACAGGACTCCAGTCTCTTGTAAGGACACCTTTATCTATTTTTTACATAATCTAGAACTAAAGATTTAAACTAATATTTATTGCCTTGGAGACTTGTACAAGTCTAGGTACCGCCAGCAGGAAAGCTTTGTTCAGTAGATGGCATTAATGGCTGTGTAAAGGAACTCCAGACGACTGTCAAGACTCCTGCCACACTGAAGCTGGGTCGATGTATTTTACCTGCTGAGTACCTTGTTTCATCAAGGATCTTGGTAAATGGACAGGGTTTATTTCAGGGAGGGATGACTTTGATATTTAATGCTGTCACAGGACTGTTGATTGTCATGGGTTTTGGGAATTTTGTGAGGTATTATTTATAATAAAAGCTGGTTATGCTCTTCATGTCCAGAAGGGTTCAAACATAATTTGAGGCGGTCGGGTAGCCTAGTGGTTAAAGCGTTTGCTCGTCACGCTGAAGACCCTGGTTTGATTCCCGACATGGGTACAATGTTAGAAGCCCATTTCTGGTGTCCCCCGCCATGATATTGCCGGAATATTGCTAAAAGTGGCGTAAAAGCATACTCACTCACTCACTCACTCACTCACTCACTCACTCACTCACTCACTCACTCACTCACTCACAAACATAATTTCTTACCATAATGCATAAGGCAAAAGTTGAAAACCCCTACAAGTATGATAAAGTAAAAATACGGAAGTCCCATGTGCATTCATTTAAGGTGGCACAGACATTTTTCCCAAGTTCCAAATACATTCTTGAGACCCTAAGGGACCTCTGTGAGTGCCTACTAGAAACTACCATTTTGACCACTTGACTAGTGTTACGCGATTCATGTTGGTATTTCTGATTTGACCCTAATTAAAATAAATATTTGTTGTTACCTCTGCTGTCCTAAGGATATTCAGGTTTGTGTTTAATGTGCACTCACCAATATTGCCATTGTATCATGGTGGCCTGGGACCAGACAGACCAGTAATGGATAGCGTTCGCAACATCCTATGGTGTTGGGGTACGATGACACGCATCAACCAATTTGGCAACCACCCAATTCATTAAATCCCCTCCTACAACAAACTCGGAATCCACACTGGCTGTGTCTAAGGCACTGCAACTCACTATGCAGAGCTGCTAGAGAGCTATGGTCGTGGGTTCAAATCCTGGTTCACCCCGATTATGTTTCTAGGTTTGTCAGTGCCATACCCATGCTCATGGGTTTCACTAGACTAACATTTCGTCTATGAAATTTTATATTACACAATACCCTTCTTGACTCTAAAAATTTAAAAAATGATTTTCCAGATGCTGATTCCATATGTGGAATACAGCTAGCTTGAGCTGGCTAGACTTGCTTTTGTATACGTTTCTAGATTGTGTTTTTTTCATAAAATAAATGTATTCCACAGTCATGGTGCAGGACTAGGGTTTCATCAAAGTGGTTAATGTCTAAGACCTGCAAAATTTGGGCTCTTCTCCTCACAAGCTACACACTGTGATATAACTGGAATTCTGTTCAAAGAGTTGTCAAACCCAACTCACTCACTCACTCACTCACTCACTCACTCACTCACTCACTCACTCACTCACTCACTCAAGGGGGCACGGGTGGCCCAGTCGTCCAAGGCGCCGCGATTCACTGTGCAGAGTTGCGTCCCTTGGGCACGCCAGAAACCTATGATTGTGGGTTCGAATCCCGGTTCACCCCGATTATGTTTCTAGGTTTGCCAGCACCATACCCGTGCTCGTGGGATTCACCGAAGTTGTAAACGTCTGAGACCTGCATCACTTCGGACTTTCGTCCCACATTAAGCTGACATGCCGTGATATAACTGGAATACTGTTAAAAGCGGCGTTAACCCCAACTCACTCACTCACTCACACTCACTCCAGCACTGTGATACCTTTGAAAACAAAGCATGGGGTGCCACAATGAGGGAATCAGACTTTACCTTAGGTATTGAAAAAAGGACAATGTAAGTACAATACACCATTAGACATTTGCACTAGTCCTGTAGTTTTTGCCAAACTGCCCAATAGTTAAGGTGTCCTTACTCGGTCTTGTCTTTCTTCCAAATAAAAGTAGTGCTTTTGAATCACAATGTAATTTGTTGATAATTACACAGATAAGACTGCCAGTAAAGTAAGTGTATTGAATGTTTTTGATGCTTCCTTGAAAATCTCTATGCTTGTGATAACAACTGTGATACGCCGCTTTTAGCAATATTCCAGCAACATCACGACGGGGGACACCAGCAATGGGCTTCACACATTGTACCCATGTCGGGAATCAAACCTGGATCTTCAAAGCGAACGCTTTAACCACTAGGCTACCCGACCGCTCCACTGTCAAGGAGAGAACGAGGGGCTTTGTTTAAGCAACCAATCACGGAATTAGCACTCAAAGCTCAACTATAAGCTTTGTCAAGAGAACACCAGATCTAATGAAATCTTTTTTCCACCATGAGAAGTTAAGTAGCTTACAACAAATGGTATTTTTTTTAATGTGAGTATAGGAAATGAGAGAGTTTTGTGGAAACAGTGAACATGTGCCTAGTAATTGCCCCACTTCCTGTCTTTGCTCCATCTCCTCCAGAGGGCGCTGCAATATGTATTTGTTATAAACTGAACGTAGGCTTGCCAGAGTATACACCGTCTTTGATAGTCAAGGTGTTCAGGAGGCAGGCTCTTGTGAAGGATTGGGCTTAAAGAATTCAGGTATGTGTCTGATCCTGCATGTTAGAGATACTTGCCCGGACTGTCCTGAATATATATTCACTGCTCCTAATCTCACAGGGTTTTTATATTCTTGTCAGTGCTCACGTAGTCTCGCTATTTTCTATTGATTGTTTACCATGGACGTTTAGTAATCACAGAGTGAAGAAGGATCAGTGAATGGGTATGTATCTGAACCTCTGAGGCAGATATGCGGCCCTAATCTGCAGCAAATGTTAGTAAAATAATCCCAATTTGGAATGATAACTTGATAATTCATGCTTTTTTAGTTCTGACTAATGTTGAGGTTGTGTAGAGGGGACTTTAGTCCACAGGAGGAAGAGGCAGAGGGAGAGGCTGATATGCTTTGTTTATACTTTAATGCATTGGATGCTGTGTTAAAGCACAATGTTGGGGGGGCAGGGGTGGCCCAGTTCGCTGTGCAGAGTTGCGTTCCTTGGGCATCCAGAAACCTATGATTGTGGGTTCGAGTCCTGGTTTGCCCAATTATGTTTCTAGGTTTGTCAGCACCAAACTCATGCTCGTGGGTTTCACCGATGTGGTAAACGTCTGAGACCTGCATCACTTCCGGCTTTCCTCATTAAGCTGACATGCCGTGATATAACTGGAATACTGTTAAAAGTGGCGTTAAACCCAACTCACTCACTCTCTCACTCAATGTTGGATTCCTCTGAATATAAAAGAAGAATGTTAAAATAAAATCTGAATTTGAACAAAATATACCTTTTTCAATTTGACTGCCAGTTGCACTTGGTAAAGAATCTGAGATAAGTTCCTTCTGAAATGAATTGTCCATGTCAAGAGAATAATATTAAAGCAACAAAACTCTTTCTAAATCCAGTATAAGTCTCTGCATAAAGCAGAGTCGATCTAACGATTCTGACTATATCATGACTAGTGTCCATGAATCACTATCAAATAGTAATGATACCAGGTGTGTGCGAAAAGGTGAGCGTATCCTGCCCCACTGGTGGCACTGTCACAAACAAGACAAGGCAATTTACATCACATGGCATCAACAACTATAGCATCATATACCCTCCATTTTAGTCATCATTTGTAGCTGGACACACTAGCTAAAAACCTGTGATTCTGGGTTTGAATCCTGATTTGCCCCATTGTTTCTAGGTTTGTCAGCACCAAATCTGTGCTCGTGGGCTTCACCAAAGTGGTAATTCTGAGACCTGCATCACTTCGGGCTTTCCTCCCTCATTAAACTGACACGCTGTGAAATTACTGAAATGTTGTTCATGCTTTCAATCACTGGTTTGTCTGGTCAAATGGTCTGTCTAGATGTTGGTGACTGCTGACTCACTCACTCATCAAATGTCCACTTCAGGTCTTGAAACCATACTCACTCACTCCTTTGAAAAATGATTGGACGATTCAGTGTTTGATGTGAAGACAATGAAATGGGGCAACAAAACTAAATGGCTCTTTTGAGCCTCAGTTTTACAAATCATTGCCAACATCAGACTTCCAGAGACGGAATCAAAGATCTTTTAAGCTGAGAGTTGATCCCAAACTAGGATCAGGCCCTGAAGGCATTCTTCCATTTAAACAAAGAAATATTGACTGAAATATTAGCAGTGTAAAAGACCCTGACACCATTCTTCCACAATTGCATCAGATCGTGTTGTAAGCTCAGAGGGTCATTGCTGGGGATATGTACAGATTATTTTGATCTTTTTTCAATTTTATCTGAATCAGTTAAGTATGTATGACTTATTTCCTTTTTATTCTGATTGTGATGGAATAGGCGATTTTCTCACACCATAATAAGAATTGTGGATGGAAAAGTAATAAAAATGTTAATTTTCAAGAATCCTGAAAATGTCTTCATCATGTTTACTATGTACATGCATAGTGACGTTGGGCTGCCAAGTGTTTTGACATGGGAGATTGTTGAAGCATATTGCATGGGGATAGGGCAGCTGGTGAAGAAATTGGATAGGTTCACAGGCTTATATAACCCAAGGCCAGCAGTAGAGAGCTTAATTGGTTCTTCTAGGGCCAGCCCTCACTACAACATGGAAGAACCATGCTTTGTTGGAGAGCCTTGTCATTAGGTTCACCATTGGCCCTGTTGATGCATTGCATTGGACAATTTCTGACAGAAGTTTATCTGTAAGTCAGCTAATGTCTTAGGCTTGTTATGGGGCTGAGTCCTGTGACGTCAGAGAAGGAAGTTTTTACCGTCACTGGTGAAATCGACAGAATTGGACATTTGGTGTTATGGATTTTTCAATATCTGTGGAGCGGCTTCCTTCTATGGAACCTTGTGAATGCGCCTCGTAAATCAATAGTTACGCTTGGGTGTGCTGTGGAAACAACCATTCAGGATATAGGCAGAGGGGTTCTACCTCTTCTGCGAAGCATTTCCAGTTTGCTCGTCTGACGTAGCGAAACTCGGAGACCTGCACTGACTGTGGTACCAGGTGAAGTAAACATGGGAAGTTTAGAAATGTATTTGTTTTAATTGAAGCTGCCAAGAAGAAATATGCTTCGAACGGATACTTAGACCAACTCCCACTGGCGCAGCTAACGTCATCACTTGGCACAGAATCAGCTGACGAGCTCGTAAGGTTATAACACTAACAGAAAAGGTTTGAGATCTTCAGAATGTATGGTACCATCCAATGAGAGAGATCGAGAGTCTGTTGTGTGCTTTCACTGATTGGATTGAGGTGATGTTCCGAGGATACCTTCGATGTTCTGTCACCTTTGAGTCAGCTTTCGTCGTGTAAGTTACAAAGACTGATAGTCATTTTCCAGTTTTCCATGGTGGTCGATTGTTGTTATCTACAAAGACAAATCTCTGCTGGTTTTCGTGGGTAGATTGTAGGAGGTTTTTTTTATAACTTGTCTTTGAAGTTGTGTTTAGGTTTCGTTTCTGTTCAATTCTTGGGTCATATCATCATGGGGAATTATGTACATCGTGATGAACGGTTTGAAGTTGCTTATTGAAGAACTGATGGAAGATGAATTTCAAAAGACATTATGAAAAGATATTGTCGTAAAATGATTTAGAGTAAGTTTCATGCAGATTGTCACTATTTGTGAACAGATACAGATTGAGAGAACTGACAGATTTTTCTGAAAGCGTCAGATGTTTGAGGGTTTTTCAATCATGAAGTACAGCTGTAAACAACACGCGGTTTACTGCCGGGCGGGGTATAGGAGGCAATTGCATGATAGGAACTGGTCATCAAGATAATTTGATTGGATGATTACTCTAAATCATCGGCCAGCGGTGAATACGACATGAATTTATGTTACTTGGTACTTACATGATTGGTTTCGGAGTAGGAAAGCGACCTCATGTTGGGTTTTAAACCAACATCTGTATCTGAAACTGTATTTAGAATTCCAAATGTCTCCGTTGATTTATGGAGGTCTCTGGTTCGTCTCGGTAAAAGTTTCAGGTTATCCATATTTCTGAATCTGATGGTGCTAACATTTAGCACTCATTCACATGATCAACATGATTAAGACTGTTCGAGTTCTCTTCATTTTTCATTTAACTGCTAATTAATAACCAGTATGACTTCATGAAAGTACTTCAACTAGTTTTGAAGATTGCAGGTCTGAAGCCTTCGAAAATATTGTTGATTGTTGATTTTCTGTCTTGGCATAACAAATATATTATTGCTGAGTCAGCAATAGCTTCTTTAATATTCTGCTTTAAACTTGTACCATTATTACAATTGCCATCATAAAAGGCAGTGGTCTAAGGTGACACAATTTGTTGTGCAGAGTTCCATCCCATTGCCACACCAGGATCCAATCCAAGATTGGCAACAATTATGATCTTTCTCAGTGAGCATTATGTTCTACCCAAAAGAAGTTGAGGAACACCTGATTTTTTCAATTGACTATAGTTGCACTATCATATGGAAACATCAGAACTTCTTTAACTTCTTTTGAGTAGTATAGTATACATTTGCTTGTGTGTTTCCACATATTTACGACAAGCATCAGTTTGAAGTTTTCTTTCCACAGCCATTCCATATGCCATTATAGAAGTGAAACGTTTATGTATCTTATTCAAATAAATGTCCAACTCACTCACTCACTCACTCACTCACTCACTCACTCACTCACTCACTCACTCACTCACTCACTCACTCACTCACTCACCCTTTTCCTGTTACAGAGAACCAGGATGTTAACTTCGATGCAATTCTGGGAGAACTTTGTGAGCTGGAAACTCAGCTGAATACAACACAAACCGAGCTCTCACGTAGCCTGGGCGGATACCCGTCCGAGATGGTCAACGAACATCATCCACATGAAAAGAAAGATGGAGGCGGAGGTGGAGGTGGAGGAGGAGGAGGAGGAGGAGGGGGTAGTGATATGATTCAGGCGGAGCTGGATGCCCTCGCAGCCGAGATCACACAAGGATTAGGATACCGCAACAACGTACATGCATACAATGGACAAACGGTGGATACCACTTATGACACAGGTGAAACAGACTCGGCTTTCTCGGACAATGCCTCGTTGCCATCTTCCGAATCCTTTACTTCCATGGTAACGGTGTCGTCGTCTGCAGATACGACCTCTTCGTCTTCCGGAGATACTTGCAGTACCAGTAGTGCTATGTCAGCTGCAACGCTTCAAGGGGAGGTAAGTGTTATGATGATATGTTAATCATTTGTGATGTCATCAGTTTGTTTGCTTGAGGTTATGTGTGTTGCCTCCAGTCTGTGACAGGAGTTTGCTTGAGGTTATGTGTGTTGCCTCCAGTTTGTCACAGGAGTTTGCTTGAGGTTATGTGTGTTGCCTTCAGTTTGTCACAGGAGTTTGCTTGAGGTTATGTGTGTTGCCTCCAGTTTGTCACAGGAGTTTGCTTGAGGTTATCTGTGTTGCCTCCAGGCAGTGACAGGATTTTGCTTGAGGTTATGTGTGTTGCCTCCAGTTTGTCATGCTGTCATGATGACTTGTTTGCTGAGGGTGTATATTATTTGTAGTCTTTCCTTTTGATCAGTTTGTGAATAATATGTGTGATTGTGGAATAATAAACAGTAATTAGTATAATATCACGCTCAACAAGAAATTCAGAAAATACAGTCTACATACTTCTTTAGAAGTAGGAAAAATAGTTTTTAACATTCAATGAAAAGGTATAGAAAGTAACTTAGTGTTCACAACACATGAAGGATGGAAAACCATTTTACTTTGAGTGAATTGGGTTTAGCTTAGGTTTTTCAGTTTTATCGCAGCGTATCAGTTTAAAGTGGGAGGAATGCCAAAAGGGTTTTTTACTTTGATGCCGTACAAGACTGACTCCCTGAGGACTGATTGGCTGCAGTATTGTCAGAGTGTTTTCTTGGTATGAAGACAATGTCTGTGAATCTGCCCGTGTGTTTAAGTTATTTCTTGTTGCTTCTTTTTCAAAATGCTTTACCAGTGTTGAGTCTTAGCTTTAGTGTTTCTGTGTCAGTTTGATAGAATTTGATTGACCATACTCAACAGAATGACAGAACAGTTTCCTCAAAATATTTATTTGTGTTGTGTCTTGACCTTCATATCCTCATGTAGTAAAGAAATAAAGTATGATGGTGTATTGCCTAGTATGATGGTGTATTGCCTAGTGTGATGGTGTATTGCCTAGTATGATGGTGTATTACCTAGTATGATGGTGTATTGCCTAGTATGATGGTGTATTGCCTAGTGTGATGGTGTATTGCCTAGTATGATGGTGTATTACCTAGTATAATGGTGTATTACCTAGTATGATGGTGTATTGCCTAGTATGATGGTGTATTGCCTAGTGTGATGGTGTATTGATTAGTATGATGGTGTATTGTTTAGGTATAAAGTTGTACTGTTTAGTATAATGTTGTACTGTTTAGTGTTAAGTCATATTGCCCAGATTTTATAATGATGTTCTATTGTCCAGGTATAATGTCATGTATTGCCCAAGTAAATGGTGTTTTGACCATGTATGATGTTGGTTTGCCTTGGTATAATGTCATGTCATTCAGTAAAAGGATTATTTGCCTAGGTGTAATGTTGTATGGCTCTGATATAATGTCATATTGCCCAGGTATAATGTTGACTGCCGAGGTATAATGTCATATTGCCCAGGTATAATGTGGTATTGCTCAGGTGTAATGTTGTATTGCCCAGGTATAATGTTGACTGCCGAAGTATAATGTCACATTGCCCAGGTATAATGTCATATTGCCCAGGTATAATGTTGTATTGCTCAGGTGTAATGTCGTATTGCCCAGGTATAATGTCGTATTGCCCAGGTATAATGTTGTATTGACCAGGTATTGTGACATATTGCCAAGGTATAACGTCATATTGCCCAGGTATAATGTCATACAGTGCTCAGTGAAATGTTGTACCACCTGGTAACATTTGTTCTTCTGTTCCTGGCTTCTGATTGGTAGAATTTGGTTGAATCGACATCCCTGGTTTTAGAAAGTTGACCTCTGAGAACATCTGCCACCTAAAGAAAGGGGTTGTATAGTTTCCAGATCTACATTAGCAATCACGTCACGTCTACACATCTTTGTTTTTACACACTCTCAGAAGCACAGGAAGTCACGCGGAGTGACTCACACACATGTGCAGGGTCTGCTTGATGGAGAACGTCTCAACTCAAACTTCCAACAGCTTCATATTTCTCTAGCAGGGTAGCTAGCTGTCAATAAGTGCTAAAAATACGTTTTTTTGCTTTTTGTGTTTAAATTTGAAGTTGATACTCCGATGATGTTAGGGGGCAATCTGTTCAGTGCCTAAATGGCTTTGTGATATTGTCGACTGTTTTAAATTGAGTGTACATTTCTTTTAGGAAGTAATTGCTTTGAGCCTTCAAGAGTTTTGGCTTAAATGTTAATAAAGATAACACATCTGTGAGGGCCAAAGTTTCATGTAAAAGTTGGAGTTTTTTAGTTTAGAGCTGGCAAACTCAGAAATTGGAAATCAAAATAAACAGATCTGTGAAAGTTTAAAAATTAGGATCAAATAGAGTCAAAGAAGTTGGTATTTTTTATTTTGTTGTCATAAAAATATAATTAATAAGTGTATGAACAAAATAAGATTGACCTATATATGTATGCTCTATTTTCTGTCTTTATATGCGTTGTACTGCCTAAAAAGAAATAGGTGACCTACATCAAATATATAATGTTTAGAAATATTGTATATTAATAATAAACATACAACATTGACCCTAGACATATCGGCCTAAAAGTGTCATGTTTACATCTCATGCACCCTCTTTTTAACACTTGGACTCTACTCAATATTGTCTTTGGGCTGTTCCATATTAGCTGGAGGGTGTACATTTCAAGTTCATTGTTTAATGTTGCAGCTAAGTAGTCCCTGGTCTATTTATTCAACTCCGCCCAACATGCCCGTTACTTTAGAATTACATGTGGATGCCACACTTTCTCGGTACAATTTGATTGGTCCATCGTGACTCAGTCGTTGTGTTCGTGTTGTAGAAGGCATTGTCGTTTATGGCGCTTAGGTTCAACTGTGGCGCTAGTTTCAAAATAGAATTGTTAGTCACCTGAAAACTGTTGATCTTATACGTAATGACGTGAGACAGAGGCTGTATATATAAGCTAGTCACCAAAAAAATAGAACATTTGTTTTGCTTGAAGTGGAGTTTGAAATATGAAGAACCCACACTCCCTTATCAAGGCTTTCCTCAAGGTGAGATGTTATGATGCATTTTATAAGTTCTCATTTTATATTTATTTTATTAATTTTGATAGTTTTATAATTCTACAGGTAAATTTGATTATTTGTCATGTCATTACTTTTATTTCAAAATCTTGTACCTACATAAATCAAGTGACAGTTTAACCACTCTCTTCCACATAAACTCACAATGATCATTTAAAATGTGTAAAAGAGGAAAGACAGATTATGTGAATTTACTTGATTTTGTCACCGTTTCAAATCTTGACATTTGTAAGAAATGGAAATAGTTTTTTTCCAGCACTTGCACCAAGTCCACATAGCTTGTTTAGAGTGAGTCGAAGTAACACAAGATTTACTGATTAGACAACACCCCAAGACAGCCAATGGCTATCAGAATAGGTGTACAGTCGATTATTTCAAATCCAGTCAATCAGTCATTTCTGACTTCGTGCTAGACTAACATTTAGTCTCTGAAATCTTATATTACACAATATCCTTCTTGACTCTAAAAATAAAAACAATTCTCTATGCTGATTTCAGAATAGAGCTAGCTTGAGATGGCTAGACTTGCTTTTGTATGCATTTCTAGATTATTATTTTTTCATAAAATAAATATATTCCACGGTCATGGTGCAGGACTAACTTCGTGCATGCAGCATTAAATACTTTCAACAATAAAAACAATAATGTTTTTACAGTTTTTAATCTCAATTATGTACTCTCCAGCGCAATAAGTGGACAAATTGGAAAGATATAGTAGTAAACTAACTTTCATTTAATCCTTTTTGTTTAAGATGGAATGGACATTCAATGCTGTTCAATTGTTTATTTATGATAAAAAAAATCAATACTTTGTCAATACTTAGGTACATATGTTTAATTAGTAGATAAACCTAATGTGTTTTAAAATTTGACGTAGTCCCACTGTAGAGTAGATACCTATAATTTTAATTTGGAACTGAGCGCTTTAGCGCATAAATTAGATACCTTGCATGTATTAGAGATCAAGCATGTAAGAGAGGAAATATCAATATGTTTTACAGTTCCTATTGGTGATCGGTCGGCAGTCATTTTTTTTTTTTGAATCGATATGTAGGCTTTCAATGTATTCATGCACTGTATTTAAAAGGGGTTTCCGTAGCAAAAAGTAAACCTCTTTTTAACCAATCAGAATCAAGCATTCTTCAATGTCATGGTAGAATCATAGCTTATCTGTACTGTTTTTCCATCCCTTTTTGTATATACCGTATTCGACGTTATAAGCGCCCAGGGCGCTCTCAAAATTTGAAATAGGGGGCTCTTATTAGAATAATATTTTGGAGAAAAAAAAAATGAGTTGAAAGATCGTAAATTTCGTGGTTTATGCTGACAGCCTGAAATGATACAAATAAAAGTCTGTGAGTATTATACATGACAGATATATTTATCCAGAATTTAATTGCCCATAATTAAGGGTGCATATAACACATGAGTGCGTATTATACACGAATAAATAAGTCTTGTGTACATTGATCAATCGGAAGGGGTGCTAATTGGGATTGTTCACTAGCCAATATATTAGCAAATATCGTCGTGGGCGCTTATTAGAGCGGGGTGCTTATTACGTCAAATACGGTATTGTAATTGAATGTTTATTGAATATTATGGATTATGGAGAGGGTGTTCTAAGTTGGAGAATATGTCCGAATCGTTTTCACTATTGTGAATAAACTATATTTAAAACAAACAATATTAGATTATCAGCTAGCATGTATCATCTTCGCCGCAATTCTGTATCACTAATGTCTAAACAAGACCCTCGGTAGGAGTGCGTCAGAAGGGTATAAAAAACCTATTTATTGCAGGAAGTAAAACTCTCGACTGCAGCCATAATGTAATTAGCAAGGCTCATATGTTGCTTTTTAGTTCTGGATAAATGTTTCTGAAGAGGCAATATTTCTTGTGGGCAAACATGATAAGCTCCAACCATGTTGTTATGAAGGCAGAGGAAATAGGTATATATATTGCTTGGTTTGAGAGTAATTTCACTGCAGTTATTTAATTAGATATGTGTTCTTGGGAGCACTATTCATACGAAGGAAAGTAGAAGGCTGACATTCCTTTGAAGAAATGAAGGGTTTGGATGGATTCTAGAGCTAATTGGGAATAAATGTAGACTTGGTAAATCATTGGTTGTGTTTGGATGCATGTATATTTTGGTTTAGATGGTTTAGTTTAAATGAAAACCTTTAGATAAGACTTTGGAGGTGATATGAACATGTTTTTTCATTAAGTCCGAATGTCAATCACTCCCTTATTGTGTTTTATTTATTTAATCAATGTTCATCTAATGTCATATTATTCTGTGACACTGAAAGAGGGAAGCTGAAGAACTCTAGCTCTTTACAAAAATTGAACTAAACTTAATTAGGTTGCAGGGAAACTGAAAAAGAAAACCACATCCCTCAAACTCAATTTCAAACTTCTGGGACCATATTCACAAACATTCTTAGAGTGTTTGAGAAGTCTTATGTCTGAGAAAATTCATAGAAATACCCGAATGTCATATGCATAAAAACTAAAAGTAGTACAAGATTTGCCTAAGTTATTGTGAAAATTCCTTCTCGGAGTTTCTCTCAAAATTTCACTTTACTCTTAAGTTAGCTACAAGTTACTCTCATAGCTGTTGGGGCACGGGTGGCCCAGTCGTCTAAGGCGCCGCGATTCGCTGTGCAGAGTAGCGTCCCTTGGGCACGCCAGGAACCTATGATTGTGGGTTCGAATCCCGGTTCGGCCCGTTTATGTTTCTAGGTTTGTCAGCACCATTCCCGTGATCGTGGGTTTCACCGAAGTGGTAAACGTCTGAAACCTGCATCACATGGGGCATTCCTCCCACATTAGGCTGACACGGCGTGATATAACTGGAATAATGTTAAAAGCGGCGTTAAACACAACTCACTCACTCATAGCTGTTACATTGACACTTTTAACTGATAGCTAGTTGGACTGCCTCCCTCAGGAGAGCAGAATGTCCAGGGTTCGATCCCCGGCCGCGCCATACAAAAAAACACGTTAAAAGATGGTACTTGTTGTTTCCCTGCCTGGCTCTTGGCATTAAGGGGCTAAAACAAGGATTGGTCGGCTCTGAGTCAGTATACTGTGTCTGAGTGGGGTTTAACCTTATTTCATCTCACCTAAGCTAACAGTTACTCTTAGAGCTATTACATCTACACCCCTAAGTGTAACCCTTGGCTGCAAGTTACTCTCAGAGCAATTACAGATCTTAGCTAAGGATTTTCTTAGCTAGTTAAGAGTATTCTCAAAGAATATTCTAAGAATATTTTGAATTCGGACCCAGTTTATTTGAGAGGACGTGCAACTGAGATGAGAATACCCCCACCATTGCCTTCATGGAGTTTATCCTGCCATGGCAGCCTACAGTGTAGCAGATACTCCATCCCACCCTTAACAAAGTTGCAGCCAACTTTGTCCCACATGCACTACGCTTAATGAATTTATCTCCTAAATTTGTCTGGGTTGAAGTTCCCTTGCTGCTCAGGCTTCTGTGAGCCTGTGGAATTGCCAAACCATATTAGCTTTGTGGGATGCACGTTCTGTCTCCTGCTATCCAGACTCACTTGACGGTTTGCCCAATTTTAGTAGGTCTTCAATTAATAGTTGATGTAAGACTTCTATGTGAGAGGAAACATCACACCAAGTGTCAGGCTGGTTGAATATGCAGATACAGGGCCCTATTAGTTTGAGTTTGAGCCTTGAACATGGATTCTAAGTGATTCACTGTCTGATGGGGGATTAAATGGCTAATGGCGCTGTCTTGTCATCTTCTCAATGATAGTTTTTATTTGTAGGATATATGCTGTGATATACACCTGAGGTTTGTCTTGTAGGATATATGCTGTGATATACACCTGAGGTTTGTCTTGTAGGATATATGCTGTGATATACACATGAGGTTTGTCTTGTAGGATATATGTTGTGATATACACCTGAGGTTTGTCTTGTGGGATATATGCTGTGATATACACCTGAGGTTTGTCTTGTAGGATATATGCTGTGATATACACATTAGGTTTGTCTTGTAGGATATATGCTGTGATATACACCTGAGGTTTGTCTTGTAGGATATATGCTGTGATATACACCTGAGGTTTGTCTTGTAGGATATATGCTGTGATATACACCTGAGGTTTGTCTTGTAGGATATATGCTGTGATATACACCTGAGGTTTGTCTTGTAGGATATATTCTGTGATAGACACATGAGGTTTGGCTCGTGGGATATATGCTGTTATATACTCTTGAGGTTTGTCTTGTAGGATAAATGCTTTGAGTGTTTTTTTATCTGAATTAGAAACACTGATATTTGGTTATTAACAAAGTGTGGTGCTATGCATACTCAATCATTGTTGGTTTTCTTCATTATACTGTACTCGCATATACTTCAGGCACTGAAAGTGTGTAGCATAGCTACGTTGTAAGCCGACATAAAGATGGCACCTCATAAAATACATGAAGCAAGCCTGGCAAGGTTTAGTTCTACACCGTACATCACTATTGTGATGTCAAACCGCTCATTCGAAAGCTATGATGTTCCAGTCAGATATAGAAAGGCATTAAATTTCAAGCTCGCTGTTGTCTCCATTCTTGCAATACACAATCATGGTCGATTTCTATGTTTTTTCGTTTCTGGCATGTAGACATACTTTTGTAGCAACCAAAAATCTTCATTTTGTAACTTTAGCTGTACACTTAATTATTTCAAAATGTCTACAGTGACTGAGAAACAAGTTCTTTTCTATAAATATTAGCTTCTTCGGTGATGCGGTCATCAAATCAACTGTTTCAAACAGAGGTGATTATTGTGATTTGATACCTCTGATTGAACGAAACAGAATCCAGTATTTTCCAAATTGGTAGAATAGTCAGTCAGGGATACCAGTGTTCCTTTGTACAGTTGTGAACATTCTCAGAAGGATGGTCTGAAGGTGTGGTTTCCAGATATTTGCTGAGTGGATGGACGAGGTTTTTGTGTAAATTTATTGTGCGAATAATGTGTGTTACGTTTATTCTGTTACACCTCATGCGATGCATGGTTTATTGTCTGCCATGCATGTGTAATGTGATGTATATATTGTACAGTACACCTGGCATCATTTGTATTGTATTTTATAGTGTGTGGTATTGTACAATAAGCCATGTATTGAATATGTGTGATATTGTACAATAAGCCATGTATTGAATATGTGTGATATTGTACAAAAGGCCATGTATTGAATATATGTGATATTGTACAAAAGGCCATGTATTTAATATGTGTGATATTGTGCAATAGGCCATGTATTGAATATGTGTGATATTGTACAAAAGGCCATGTATTTAATATGTGTGATATTGTGCAATAGGCCATGTATTGAATATGTGTGATATTGTACAATAAGCCATGTATTGAATATGTGTGATATTGTACAATAAGCCATGTATTGAATATGTGTGATATTGTACAAAAGGCCATGTATTGAATATGTGTGATATTGTACAAAAGGCCATGTATTTAATATGTGTGATATTGTGCAATAGGCCATGTATTGAATATGTGTGATATTGTGCAATAGGCCATGTATTGAATATGTGTGATAATGTACAATAGGCCATGTATTGAATATGTGTGATATTGTACAAAAGGCCATGTTTTTGAATATGTCGGATATTGTACAATAGGCCATGTATTGAATATGTGTGATATTGTACAATAGGCCATGTTTTGAATATGTGTGATATTGTACAATAGGCCATGTATTGAATATGTGTGATATTGTACAATAGGCTATTTATCGAATATGTGTGATATTGTACAATAGGCTATTTATTGAATATGTGTGATATTGTACAATAGGCCATGTATTGAATATGTGTGATATTGTACAATAGGCCATGTATTGAATATGTGTGATATTGTACAATAGGCCATGTATTGAATATGTGTGATATTGTACAATAGGCTATTTATTGAATATGTGTGATATTGTATTGTATATGTGTTGTATTGTACAATGATCATGTACTTGTGTGATATTGTACAACAGGTTATGTATTGTATATGTTATATAGCAGGCCATGTGTTATAGATGTGTGATATAGACAATGTTTTGTATGATATTGTACAATATTGTGTGATACAGTAAATCAGTGTTGCATGCATCCTAAGATGTTATTGTGACATTGATAAGTGTATACATGTATGTGTGATTCCATGCCATCATCATTGTGTCCACATATGTCATCATTCTTTCGTATCTTTATGACAATGAACTTCTTCTTTTCTTCCAATACTTAGTATAACAATATTCCTACATGGATAAGAGATGCATCTTCAGCAGATGGTCACAAGATCTGTACCACAGACCTATCGTAAATCCTTGAATGAACGTGTGCCTTCAACAGGTGCCCACCTAGCGAAATGCCTGGTCTAACGTTAGATGTCAAATCTGATTACATAATGCTCCCTTACCAAAACCAGGTATTTTTTCAACAGTTTCATATATGTTTTAATGGGGAGGGGGATATGATTGAACATTTGTATCTCAAAATTGAGCCTTTGATCTGTTCTGTCATGAAAAAACATTTGAAACCAAATTGAATTCTTTATTGCCAACGTCTTTCGGATACAATAACGTCTCCCCTACTAGAGCAAGGGCCCCAAACATTCGGAAATAAATAATACCCGCTTATTCAAAGATTTATGGTACAATTATTTCATGGTATTTGAAAAATAATAAACAGAATTTATTTTGTTCGCCATCAATTGTGCACGTCCATGATTGTACTAACGATGTCCCTACTGTGCCTGTTGTAGATGCATGCTCATGTACTTGCCCATCTCATCAAGATAAAGGAAGGATTAGATAAAGAAAATGTGCCCCTTGTAAGTGTTACAGACTCTCTTTCTTCTGTCTTATCTCAAACCCTCAACTCCTTCACCTCAGATGTGTGGGGCCCTTACTTGGAAATTTGTTTATCCTTTCTTCTTAAAATGGTTTTCTTTATCATTATTTTTATCAGTAGCTTGATGGATGCCTTGAATTCATTCTTCCGTTCTTATAAATGCTAATGTACACTCTTATATATATACATCTGCTGACATTAAAGTTTAAACAGTTTTTGATTGGTTGAAAATGTTTTTAAGCATTTAATGTTTTTATTACATGGGAAGGGAATTTTTTAGGTCCTCTTGAGACATATGTAATCTGATTATGGTGGCTGTATTATCAATGGATATATTATCGCCTATTATCAATGGATATATTATCAGCTGTATTGTCAATGGATATATTATCAGCTGTAGTATCAATGGATATATTATCGACTATTATCATTTGAAATATTATCAGCTGTATTATCAATGGATTGTTATCAGCTGTATTATCAATGGATATATTATCAGCTGTCTTATCAGTGGATATATACCAGCTGTATTATCAGTGGATATATACCAGCTGTATTAGCAGTGGATATATTATCAGCTGTATTGTCAGTGGATATATTATCAGCTGTAGTATCAATGGATACATTATCGCCTATTATCAGTGGAAATATTATCAGTTGTATTATCAATGGATATATTATCAGCTGTCTTATCAGTGGATATATACCAGCTGTATTATCAGTGGATATATACCAGCTATATTAGCAGTGGATATATTATCTACTGTATTATCAGTAGATATATTATCAGCTGTCTTATCAGTTGATATATTATCGACTGTATTATCAGTGGATATATACCAGCTGTATTGTCAGTGGATATATTATCTACTGTATTATCAGTGGATATATTATCAGCTGTCTTATCAGTTGATATATTATCGACTATTATCAGTGGAAATATTATCAGCTGTATTATCAATGGATATATTATCAGCTGTATTGTCAGTGGATATATTATCAGCTGTAGTATCAATGGATATATTATCGACTATTATCAGTGGAAATATTATCAGCTGTATTATCAATGGATATATTATCAGCTGTATTGTCAGTGGATATATTATCAGCTGTAGTATCAATGGATATATTATCAGCCCTCTTATCAGTGGATATATTATCTCCCAAAAGTTGTGCTCTTTAGCTGAGAGTACAAAGTCAACTGTCTCAAGACGTACCATTAGTCCGAGACTTGTGAAAATCGGGAAAGTTTGATCACTTAAGAACTCGTGATACCATGACCGATATTAACTAGAGTGACTCAAGTGTTCTTAAACTTATTTGAGTAGTATATGATAATGACAAAAGTACTTGTCTGAAATAAGCTAGGGGGGAGGGGAGTGGGGGGGCGGTAGACTTAACATGGCATTAAGTATGGCAAAGTGATTGCTGTTTTTATTTCACCTTATCTTCTGTATATATTTCACACTGCATGTATACCGCTCAACGTTTGACAAGGATAGTGCTTTCCAAACGGCTAACTTATGTAAATGTGTGAAATATCTGAGTATCCTTATCAAACGTTGGGTGGTATACTTTCCTCTCTCTCACTCCATCTTCCATGGCATACTGTTTGTTCAAGGTGATGGTTTAGGATGGTCTGGGTAAAGGTTTAGATACATGCTGTGCATTAGAGGATTTAATTTGTTGTTTTTTCTCGGTGTTTATGTTTTGTATCTCAATCACTTTCTGGTGGTGGAGTTTAAGTATATTTTTATTAACCATTTCAGATTTAAGAGTTTTCGGATATTATAGGATCATGCAGGAGTGGACTATTGTCCTGATTACTTGCTAGAATTGGTCTTTCTTATTTGCAGTCTTATGGAAATGAACTGTTTGACATTTCTTAATCACAACATTTTCCACCCACAATAAACCTAGAATAACCTCATTCAGGATGTTGTAGTGTTCTAAACCTGGATTATTTAATCATATTAGATGTACCAAGCTCCACCAAGGCAGAAGGGAGGCACCAGGGAAGGAAACAAACCATGTGGCTTCTTTTAGGGGATTGTGTCAAAGATTTTGTTTCATATGTCAGACAATGCATTTATTTCAGGTACCAAATAAATTAGCATCTTCATACAGTTGAGATATGGAGTGACAAACATTATGTAATAAGTCAGCTAATTAGGATACTAAAATATCCCTATATGTTAAAAATGCATTAAGATATTTTATATGGTCCCCTAGAAGCCATCTTTGAAAGCTTACCCTGTGTGTTGCTGTAAGGAGTCCAGATAATACTACTTTCATTACAACACATCTTGACCTTTCTAACACACTAAGTGAAATGGACTGGACCTTCTGATACTGCATGGGTGGAAACCACTTCTAGGCTTTATAAATGTTGCGACTTGTCTCTTGACTGATAACCTGAATTCATTACTTCATAAATTTGGTGTCTACGTGTTGGAAATAATGTTCTCACTAACGTATAGATTCAGAAGTTGCTGATAAAAGTGTAAACTATTCATATAATAGCAGTATTTAATGAAACTCAGAGAAATTGAAGTGGTATTAAAATTTGTTAAAGTTGTTTTCCATTAGTAGAATGATTTCCTTTTAAAAAAAAAAATCTCGGTCAAATCCTGTTCTGTTTGCTACGTAGTAAGACTCTGTGGAATATCAATTACAAGGAATATTGTTGTCGCCAGAAAACAATATACACCCACTTGACGCAGGACAAAGTTCATGAGGAAGAATAATTTCCTGGCAACTTGTTCTATATAATGAACTGCCCAGTCGGCCTAGCTTAGCTCTGTCAAGGTCATTCAAACTGGTTTCATTGGTAGCAATTCAAGCAAGTTGCTGTAATCAGAAATGGTGTAAGGTATAATCTACTTGTAGGACTTATTTTCTTGCTACTTAAACTGTCTTGCAGTTTGGAGCATTATTTTTTTCTGAAATACTATTCAGATATTTTGATTTGTTGTGTGTGTGATAGAATGGATAGAAGTATTCTTGTTTAACAGTATGAAGTATGTTTCACACATTATCAATGGGAATCCAGGAAATCGGTTCTTGAGGACCGGAGGGGCACAGGTGGACCACTGTTATATGTTTCATGAGCTGTGCCGCCCCGTGAAGATCCGGGCTGACTTATGGGTGGTAGGGCTTACTGACTTGGTTGATGCGTGTGATCGTACCCAATTGCTTCGACCAATGGTCATGATGTCAATCACTGGATTGTCTGGTCCAGAATCGAGTATTGACAGACCACAATCACACAGCTGGACTATTGCGGAGTGGGGCGTAAAAAAACAAACATGAGCTGTGGTTGGAGCCACTGGCCATTGACTCAGCTCCTAGATTTACCTTGCTTACGACCCCTGACCTTTCAGATCCACCAATCATGATGTAGTGATTTTCTCCCACATTGCTCTCCTACAGATATATAAGTTAAGGGTTTTAAAGGCCAAGTCACGACATAATCATAGTCCTTTTGTATGGTTTTAAGCCACTTTTAGCAATATTCCAGCACTATCACAGCGGGGGAACACCTGAAAATGGGCTTCACACATTGTACCCATGTGGGGAATCGAACCCAGATCTTTGGCGTGACGAGCCAATGCTTTAACCACTAGGCTACCCCATCACCTTTTTTTCGCTAGAAATCTTAACATTGGAAATAGAGTCTGACAGAATACTTAAATCAGTTCAGATATTTTCAACTCTATTTGAAGATAATTCTACAAAGGAATGAAATGGTTCACTTTTCCCGATTCCCTGGACAGTAACCGATTGCTAGGCTGGTTATTTTTACCTTTGATGCCCTAAAGGAACATCCAACTTTATACTGTACTCTCAAGCTACATAAAAATTGCATCTTAATTTCAGCAGAAATTTCTTTGGTGAGATATGTATAAGAAGTTACCTAAAATTCATTGCAAATGACAGAGGGATGTAAAGGTCAAGGTCCCTTGAGCCCTGGCAATCATCCATTGGGACATCATGTCAGTTGCTTCCAGCCTTCAATGGCTCCCACTTCTAAATGAATTATGTAGGTAGAATGGATTGGAATGGGCTCTGACAATTGTGGTTTTGTTCCATCATAGGAAAAGAAAGTTAGATGAAAGTTTTGTTGAACTTTTTCAGGGACATCCGTTTGTGATCAGTTGAATTTTGAGCTGAATCAAATAGTCTGTTACACATTCACATAAACATCTTCTCTATCTTGATCTTTAAGACAAAAATGAACGTTTGGGAAAGTAGTTCCAATGATTTGGTAGATAGGCAGACAAACAGAGCAAAGCAAAATCTTCAGCGCAAGCCCTTCATTTCGGAGTACATCAGAAGTCAGATAGTTTGTGCCTTCACAAAAGAATGTTCTATTTAACATCTGCAAATACCATCCCGCACTTGAAGATGTTCCAGTTGGATCAGCTCTGGCTCGGGACTGCCTGCTCTGCTCTTTCTGTTGACTCACCAATGAAAACAGAGGTAAAGTAGACATTAATGATTGCGACCTTGAACTTCCTCATGCAGCATGTTTTGCATGCTCGGTTTCCAAGCCAAGTTAAGGTGCCGTGACTCTGTGAGGCTCATCTTCTCCCAGCTCCTTGATGGTGGAAACACAATGTAGACAGCACGTCTGCTCCTCTCTGTCGGCCATGACACCTCCAGATGCTAATTTGCCAGGTGTGGACTGAAGAGGTTTACCGGGACATATCCTGCAGGGATTTACTATCAGTGGAATCATCTTCCTTGAGGCAGGGAATGCTAATGAAGATTCCTTAAGTTATTGACGATAATCAGAAGGCATTATGACTGATAAAGTGAATTATTTAGGGAATAACCAATTAAGTAAAAGGACTTCAAGAATTTCTGTCTCAAGGTTATTTAATAGGACCCAAATCTAATAATCAAACTAATTAAGTCGAGAGATCCTAGACCTAGTCATAACCCTAGTGTTCACAATTAAAGACTGAAGGGATCCTT